AAATCTACTATGACCCTATTCTAACATATATAAATAACAAATATCAAAACTCATTTCTTAAAATCCAAGCATTATCTTTTACCGAACAAATTCAAAATATACATCCCTCACAAATTACTATCCCTCCACTAGCATATATGGATAATACTGTATAGCACTGTGAAACAAAGACTGCCTACAACAACTACTTAAAGATGTTGAACAACTTTACAAACTCAACAACAATATTGTTGACTGGAAGCTGGAACCCACGCTGGACATATAGATTTTTCTAGTGTTCCAGTAGTTCCAGTTAAAATTCTCACTGGAAGCATTTTTTCACTAGAACGATATTGATGCTGACCAATCAAAATACAAGATTAAACTCATGTGAAATATACTAAGATAAATACTTGTCACCAATCAAAATTAAGCAATATTACATACCTTCGCTTTTTATCCACCTGGGTTTTTCAAATAGATCATTATTTTAGATCACTTATTTTCATGTTTAAATGATCGATTAGTTATTCTCAGTTATTTATTTTCGCTTACTCATATAAGTCTTTCAATGATTAGTTATTTTAGATCAACTTTATAGTGATATTTTAAAATCAATATTTTATTTGAAATGAATATTGAGATAAAGTTTACATATTTAATAAGCAAATTTATTATTTGTAAATTCAAATAAAGCTCGTTATAAAATAAAATTTATATATAGATATTCTAAAACTTAAAAATAAAAGTTCAATATCTAAATTAATGTTATTTCTATTCTTAGGCTGTTTGAATTTAAAAATTCGTTTAATGTTCCCCCCACCACTAGAGCTCTCCTCGGCATTAAACAAGCCAATAGAAAACGAGTATAAAAAAATATATATATATCACAAAAAAAAAAAACGTATATAAATGAATCAGGTACATTTTGAACCTAATTTTAGGTTTGTTTAATTTTAGTGTTTTTTTACCTTCCTCTCCCCCCTCAAGCAAATATGAAAAAAAGGAACGTTAAAAGAATCTTTAAATTCAAATGGCCTTAGGTTTAAATTTGAATCCGGGTTGAGATTTAAATTAAAAACTCATCAAAAATTTCAGAAGTGAACTTCTGCATACCTAGAGTAGTAAATTAAAAAATTTAAAGATGAATATGGTTTCTTTTACTACAGTATGCAAGTTTTACTTGTAAGACTAACCATCGGAATTCATATAATCTGGCTTTTAAAAGAGTGGGTCAAATATATCACTCAACTTTCATTTTGCTTTATGATCAATTGCTGGGTGTTTATGATTACTTAATAAGTCACTATTGATATTCATATTAAATTCATTATCCTCTCGTTCTATTTCTTCTTCTTCTAATCTGGCAGTTTCTTCATCTGCTAACATTTGCGTCCAATCATTTAGCCTATCTTCCCAATCCATGGTATCCGAATCATTTGGTTCAATTTCTTCCAAGTCATCATCATCCTGATTATTTCAATAGTATAGTACATTCAGTTCAGTTGGTTCATTTGATTTATTTGGCTCATTAGATTTATTTGGTGTATTTGATTTATTAGATTCACTTGATTTAGTTTGTTCAGCAACTTGATGAGACAGGCTATTATAAGGCTTTCTTTGTTTCTTTTGATAAGAAAAATTAATAGAAGCTTGAATTTGGCTCATAGCTAACACTTTATCATTCTATAATTTAAAAAATTAATTATTTTTTAGAAATAAAAAAAAAAAAGAAAAAAATTGTATACTTTAAGACAATTCTGTCAGTTAGTATGAAGAAATCCTATTGAACTCCATAATCGTTCAACAGATGCTATATTGACACAAATTCCAAATAATTTTATAGCCAATGGGCCTAACTCTTTAGTTGTGAGGGAGGTGAATTTCCAAAATGCCAAAATATCATCAAATTGTATGTATGTTTTAAAGTCGAATGGAAATTCATATTTCCTATATTTTTCAAACTCAAGTAGAATACAAGTTGGTTGATATTTAAACCATGCTTTATAATAATAAGTAATAAATTGTGCGAGATACGTAAAATTCAAATTTTCTGTATTAGTTTTAAACCAAGTATCACAGATATTTGGATTTAAAAGAAAGGCCAACAACAATAATGGTTGTTCCTATTGCTTCCACCTTTGTTCCAACCGCAAAATCATGTTTTGTGCTAAATTTTGATCAGAATATTCTTCCTACATCTTTAAAATTCCACCAAAGGCTTGTAGAACTTCGTAAAGACGAGCCATATCTGATTGTAAATTGTTAAGTGCTTTACAATAAGGATAAAGTAATGAATGCAACAACTTTATTGATTGCCAAAAACTATCATTAAGCAGAATTGATGTTATATTTTGTGAAAGATACAGTTGATCTAAATAGGTTGAAGATTAATTTATTTCATCATCCGAACTATGAGTAGAAGTATTCAACGGCAATTCGTGAGCAGTTGCTAAGTTCTACATTAAAAAAATATATATATTTAGTAAGGTTTTTATTAACTAATTTATTACCAAGAATATATTTACTAAATATATTCTTGATAAAATAATATTTACTCTTAGAGTCTGATAAGATTTGATTAAACTTTTAAAGCAGTAAGAATAAGAATTCCAACGAGTATCTGCCGGACAAATCAAGGTAATATATTTCTTATATGTTTGTTGTTATATATCCTGAAGTTTACTAATAAAATATGAATGAATTGAATTATTAAAATATGCAACTATCGTTATAGCTTGTTTTGATGCAATTTTAAATTTGTAAGATTCTTTAAAGATTTCTTCTACGGCAAGATTACATTGGTGGGCAAAACAAGGAAGAAAAACAATATTTGGATATTTTAATCATAACCGGTGCCTGTTTAGAATTTTATTGGTAAAATTTAAAAAGTTCGTCATGTTGAATGGCGAAATTTTTAAATTTTACCAGTGGAATTATAATTTTTGTTAATAATTGACTCTCATTTAGATATATGAGTGTTGCTAATAGAAACCTGAAAATTTAAATATATGCTATATTTAAATTATTGGTTTTTCTTTTAGTAACACTCATATTATTTTCTAATAATGATTCTTTGTAATATTTACCTAGCACCAGCATATGCCGAAGCACTATCGGAAACAATAGCAGATAATTTAGCACCAATATTCAACGCATTTTGAATTATAGATTTAATTTTAGGAATGACCTCTATCATTCGTTCACGTTTAAAACTTATGTCAATTGCATCCCAAATTAAAGTTTCTCTGGTCGATAAGACGAATAATGATCTAAATATATGTTGTTTCAAAATATTTTTTCATCTATCAATTGCTAAAGTAACTTCAATTTTATCTTTTTTTCGCGAGACAGGGCTAAATTTGTTGTTTCAGCATTAAGAATACGATTAGACAAAGTATACTGATCGGGAAGGATTAGATTTGGGTTTAAAAATTCCAGGGTAGCTGGATTTTTTGTTCAATGAAAAGACCATCTATTTGCTATTGTCATCCGGAGTAATAGTTGTTCAAACCTTGGCTTCTCTTTCATGGTAATATTTCGAACTGCAAAGTTGGCTATGGAGTTATTTACTGAATTTTTTGTTTTATTTTTGTGGAAAACCATTGTGGAAGATGAAGTGCTATATATTATATCACTTGTGTCATCATCATCTTATTTTTATTTATTTATTAATTTATTATTTTATTAAAAAATTTTATTAATGAAAACTTTTTTTAAAATAAAAAATTTACCAGATATATCAGTGTTGTGGCATTTTTTTGAAGCTTGAGAATCATTTTCTGTTTCATTATCTGTTTTGTTGCAATATGCGTCCACTGCTTCTTTAAAACCTAGCGTAGCAAGAAAGTGTTCACATCTTTTCAAATGATTACGAACTATATATTTTTTATTAGTAATTGGTGTTTTTAAGGCTTCATCTCGACCGAGAGCTTCATCACAAGCCTTGTATACACCATATGTGTTATGTTTATTAGTAGATTTTGCACCTATCACGATAATATTGGCTGTGAATCTGTGTTTTTCTGAACCACCCCTATATCTTCATGCCATTTTATTAAAACAGTTTGATTTAATTTCTGCTGTTTATTGTTGAAGTACTCACAATTACGAATTGACAGGTAATTTGAGTTTTTAATTTGAGCAAAGGTTTTAGCTGAACAAATAAATGTGTTATTAACAAAAAACTAACAAAGACAAGATAGTTTTTTAGACGAACTCGTAATCAGAACTTCTTTTATTTGTTTTGGTACAATTACTTTAAGATTTATAAATAGAGCTTTATAATAGGTTTTATTAAGATGGGCCGAATGTGCATTTTGAAATGGTATGTATAATTATAGAAAAATTTAATGGGGTTATTCAAAATTAATTCTTTGACATTACTCTTAGCAATCAATAACAGATTAGCCTTCAATAAAAAAAAATGCATTTTCTGTGATTATGCGTATGCATAAAAACGATTAGGCTTTATTTAACAACAGCAAGTTTTTTCTAATCTTCTCATTTAACTTGACCAAGAATTATCTAGTACTGTATAACAGAATCTCAAATTTAGGTATAGAGTTCAGGGTCATGCTATGCTATTGTCTCTAAAAATTTTCATTCACAAATTTTACTCACATTCATCAGAATTCTTATTCATGAACTCTTATACATTCAACAACATTCTCATTCACGTATTCATTTTGTGAAGTTAAAAAATGAAATTTCTGAATGTTTAATTTCCTTTTAGATTTCAAAGCACATACTATATGTAGAAATTCAAAAAGGAAATTAAACAATGCATGTTTATTTTTTAAAAAGTGATAGTTTAATTTCCTTTTGAATTTTAAAGCCATGCTACATGTGGAAATTCAAAAAGGAAATTAAAACAATATATAATATTAGATTCTATTGTCGAAATTCCTTTTGAAATTCAAAGTTCAGCACATTCATAATGTCAATTTATGATTTTACTTTTTGTTTTTCACATAGATTGTTGAATGCAATTGTTAGAAGAATTTCAATATCATATTTACAGGTTTGAAGTCATGAGTTTAATGATTCTGGATAATGAATGAAAGCAGATAACTATTTATGACACATTTTATTTGGAAATACAGCCTTCTAGTCCTAATAGCATACAAAATAACATCAAAAAATACTTTTTATGTTCTTATCAGGTTTGGAAGAAAGAAACAATCAATGCATGAGTTTGTTGGGATACATATTATTTCACTGACAATCACTTCAACGACATCTTAGTTCACCGACAATCACTTCACCTACAAGTTCATTTCACCAACAATTAATTCACAGACAAGTTCATTTCACCGACAAGTTTTTTATAAATTACACTAACCTTAACTCTAATTCTAGCCTGATCTTAACCTAATAAGCAGAATTACTTTGTCTGTGAAATGAGCTGTCGGTGAATTAATTGTCAGTGAAATGAACTTGTTGGTGAATTAATTGTCGGTAAACTAAGATGTTGGTGAAGTAATTGTCGGTGAAATGAGCACCACCCGTTTGTTGTATTATATTGTGTGCATGCTTGAATGAATTTTTTTTACAATTGAAAAAATTTATACAATTTTAATGAAGCTTTCTATACCAGCTTCGTTTTAGCTTATATACATCCAATTTGATGAATATTTTAGCACATGCTCTTGCTGACATAACAGTATACATGCTGTAGAAATTAATATTAGCTGCGCCAAAAATAGTTAAACACTATTTTGGTTTGGTGAAAATATTTCAACATATAATTTTTAAAATATCCCAGCAATTTTGAACAAATCACTTCCAAAACGTTTTTAGCCAAGCCAAAATAGTTTTTATAATATGTATAATTATGCTATTAATCTTGGGACATTAACTATTAATTGCAGCACAAAATTTTAGCTTTAGGCAATGCTGCATGCCAAAATTCGGGTAGATATTATGCTGTAATACTAGCAAACATATATTTAAAATTTTACTGTATATAAAAAAGATTAAATTATAATAAAGATTTTTTAGTTTAATATTACTGGACATCACTGGACATCATTGGAACTTCCATCCAGTGATAATAAAAAGTTAACTGGAAGGTCTAGTAAACAACAAACCATTGGAACGATTTTATCTTCTAGTTATATCCAGTTAGTTCTAGTTAATATTCTAGTTCTAGTAGTTTTCACTGGATCTTCCAGTTAACAACACTGCTCAACAACATCCAAGTCAACCCAACAAAATCTGACCTTCTACACATTAAACCTTATTATAAAAAAACATCAAATCA